GTAAACATACAGACATTTAAAAGCATTCAATAAGCGAGCTTCATTCATGACATCATCCGTTGAAAGCATCAAAGCAACTAAACACAACAGCAACTGCAAGGTTTTGAAGTTTCGCCTAATTACAGTGGCCATAAGTTTCTACTTAATTACAAAGGCCAACTAAACAAAATACAAATATTAATTGGTGGTTAATAGACCTTTGTCTGCCTCACACGACTTGGATCTACTCACTAGCTTGTTCGTAGACCTGCAAAATGGACCGAGAGGGGTTCTCGGCGACCGGCGTTAACACTTCAACTGATACATAAAAAATATCGACTCACAAAGATTATCGGTCGAACCACCTCATCTCGATTGACTTTGTCTCTAGAATCGGATCGACCTACAATGCGTCAGGGGCGGAACCCCAACTTAGACACTCCGACGCTCAAGTCACAAAACTTATATCTTACATTGTACTGCAGTGAATAGAGCTTAGGTTAAAGATTGAACGTGAATCCCTTATTTATAAGGTATTTAATAACTACTCTCAAGACAAAGAGTTTTCTTAATAACGAAGGATTTTAATCATTCATAATAATTGTATAGATATGCACAAACTCTATTAATATCTTTTAGAAATATTTTCTAAATCCTTATAGGTATTAAACCAACACCATAATATCTTTAAATTTAGGCCAATTTACACGCTTGCTAATTGAAGATGAAAATATTGCAAATATACGACAAAGTGAAAAAGATTAGCATCAACACGAAATTAGATGAAATTATTAGTTGAATGCAAAAGGTTAGATTACCAAAAAAAATGGATGAAATATCCATTTTTTATAACTTTATTTGGGACAAAAAACCAAAAACTTTCAAACGTTAATAACTTTTTTGTTTGTTATCAATCTTTTATATATAATATATTGAATTAATCATCTTTCGACGAGGTTTAATTTGATATCTATATTGAATATATAAAAAAAAATTATTTTTTATTATAAATTAAATTATACGTTAATACTAATTAAAATTTAATAAAACTATCTATATCAGCGTTGCATATTCGATAAGAAAATAAAAACATAAAAAAAAAAAAAAAATATATATATATATATACATACACTTATATGTTATATAAATTATTACAGATTATAAACCAAATATAAACCGAATTATTACATATTATGTTAAAAAACACAACATATACTAAAAATATACTAATTACAATTACAACATATACTGAAAAATATTTCGGTGTTCGTCATGTACAAAAAAATGCAATATATATGCTAAAAATATACTAACTATAACCACAACATATACTGAAAATTTTTCCGATGTCTGTCTTAACAAAAAATGCAATATATATATACTGAAAATATACTAACTATAACCACAACATATATGAAAAATATTTCGATGTCTGTCTTGAACAAAAAATTGCATATATATACTAAAAATATACTAACTATAACCACAATATATACTGAAAAATATTTTGTGTCCGTCTACTACAAAATTTGACATTGCTTCTTGTCAAGAAGTTTGTTACATATCATGCTGACTCAAAATAAAAAAGTTCAATTTCAACAAAATGTATTTTCTTCTAGCATCAAACGCGTACTAGATTGAAAAGCAAGTTCTATTGACTATTGGATTTATGGTTAATTTTGAATTGTGAGAATTATAGCCCAATTTCAGATTGTCAGACTAGCAGTCATCCTTTCAGTGGGGTCTTCGCCTTTGCCGTTTTCCATAAAAGACGACAATAAAAAAAAAAAGAAAAACCAGCGATAATGATGGTGTTCGACGGAAAAACCCCCGGAACCAGCCTCCATCTGAAAATGTTATTTTTTTTGTTGGGAGGATGCGATTTTCTGA